ACATTGAAAGGAATGTGCTAGCGCCAGCAGCCACAAGCATGCTATCCAAATAGCCCAGTGTATTTCCCATTATGTGCCTGCTTACTCGTAATCCCTTCCTCTCCAATCTCTCTACTCTGCAAGTGGGGCAGAGAAAAACAAGAGGTCAGGGACAGGGCAATGCGTACTGACTGTCATGGTGATCACATGACTGAGAGATGCTGCAAAGGTCATAAATGTAAGCATTGGTCATAAAGTTATTTTTTTCAGCACTCGTGTAACCTCAAACAGTCGCTGAATGAGGCAGTTGGTAAGTGAGGACTGCCTGTACTTGTTTCACTAGAAAGGTAGAATATTAACAGTTCAAGATTTTTTAAAAAATCAGTTATGTTGTACAATTTGCTCATGCCTTTGCTCTAATATTGCTGTTAGGGATAGAGTAGATTTTTAAAATATTTCAGTCAGGTTGCATTTTTATTCAGATCTGGCTTAGTGTTGCTGCCAGACTGACAGCTCATAGTGCTTCCTCTATGCAGTGGGGAGTAGAAAGAATTACAAACCATATTACCTGGATCTTCTTCCAGAAATCCAGCAGGAACACATAATGTTTGTAATCAGGAAGTTAAATCTGTTTCTGCAGGGATGCAGCAAGTCTTTAGGATAAAAAAGTCATATAATGATCTTGTAAACTACCATATATGAAATACGTTGATTCACATAAAGTAAGAAAACAGTAGGTATATTTATAAGGAAGCCAAGGGGGGCAGTAACCATACTTCAGAGCCATTCATCTTTTAGTTCAGATGTACTCTTATGCTCCGTTTTTGAAATAGCTTCAATTTGGACTTGGGACCAATATTGCTGTTCCTTCAGTCCTTTCAGCAGCCTGTTAACTGCTTGCAGACAGTGCTAATGTACCCGGATAACCCTGGGCCGTGTGCAAAGAATGTGATGGGATGAATAGTTTTAGCTGCAAAACAACTGAACATAATGTCATATGGCAAAGATGTTTTTTTAGCATTTCAGTGTCAAATAAGCATTTCTTAAAGCACTCAACATTTCTTTTGAAACCAGTTCCCTTCCTTTACCTTTCAGTTGCTTGTAGGTTTTTAGTTTTATGAACAGGAACATTCATCATGATTTTCAAAAATGTGGCCTTTGTGCTACACTCAGTAGTGCATGATATAATTCAGGGACACAAGTAAGTCTTTAAGATGAATCAGGGGGCGAGTAAAACAATGATTCATTGTTGATTTCCATGAAAACATGACTATTTGATTGTGCTGTGGGTTTCTCTTGTCATCCCCGGCAAAGGGCCAAGCATTCTGCAGAAAGTGGGCTAGAAGGGAATCAAGGTCCCTGGTCCCCTGCATTCTAACAACAGAGAAATTTAGTAGCCTTTGCATTGTAAGGTTTCCAGAAGCCCTGCTTATTCCAGTGCACGCTTACTCCTTAGTATGTATATTTATGCAACCTTAGTTCTTTGTATTAAATAAACTCCAAAAATACAGTGTCTTACTCATTATTTTGAATTGCATATGTGTGACTACTGAAGGGTGTTTTTTTAGGGTATTTCTTAATCCTTTATAATGCTACAGAACGTATCCCAGTTTACAGACATTATGCAGAGAAGTTGGAAATGGCCTGAAATATGGTCTGCCCTTTCTTTCAGTCCCTAATATGCCATGCTGGGTATGTTGCACGCAGTGCTGCTGCGTGGGGAAAACAGGGACTCTGGCTTGAAAATGCGATTGCTGAAGCAGCACATTACAACCACCACAGTAGTTACTGACTTTGGTGCTTCAGTTCCCTGGCACTGAAAAATATATAAGCACACATGCAGGTCAGCTTTTGATCATGAGCATTTAAATAGGCTTATCAGGAAATAAGATAGGAAGCTAAACTTCTTCAGGAGCCTCGAGTGAGAATTGGAAGAGTTGCTGGATGCATGGCTTTTTATCTTCTAGCGTATGATCTATAAATTAGGAATTTATCATAGACACGCTTGAACATTTCGTTTGCCTCTGTATATCATTCTGTTCGTTTCCATGTCAGAAGCTACTGAGCAGTTTCTAGCATAACAGCTTTATGTGCCCTTCTGACTGTTGCCTTCATTGAAATATGAGTCAACTTGAATTGTCTTTCAACAGGATGTAGTCTTAGCTGTTTCTTTAATGCTTTGTTAATTTCAGTGTGTTATGTTTTGTACTTTTCCAAAAGTCAGCCAGTGGCCCAGACTCCCAGGTTTGATCTCTTCTAATACAATTTTTCATTACTGTTCTGACATGTTTGGATTTGTGTTGAAGACTTCAGTTATTTGCAGTGCCTAAAAATAAGAAATGACGCTCTAGAGTATGAATAAAGTTCCTTTTATCAAATTTCTTTCCTATTCAGCTGCAATTATTGTGATACTTTTTTCTCTGTCCATTAACTAGTTCCTTCTACCATTTCTTCTGAGGATTACCTTTGTTGTTTTATCAGGTTCTCCATTTAATGGATGCATTTTTGATTGAAACTGGACTCTGTTCACACAATGTGAGAAAAAAATCACTTCTCTCACAAGACCCTTTTTGGTGCTCATTTCCACTGAATTACTACCTTTAACATTCACTAGTGGGCCCCATATATGCCAAGCTTCAGGGAGGACCAAGATAAGGGGTGGGCTTTTTCAGGCAACTTGCAAGTCTTCTCTGCCCCCTCTTCCAGCCTCTGAGCTGACATTTCTTCCTTCCTCACTAGCTGTCTGGTTAAGAGTGTGGCTAGGAAGGAAAAGTGGGATCGGCACTCCCAAGGGAAAGCTTCTTCCACAACAGACTTTTTGCCAAAATATCCTTTCTTCCCACCCTCCCTACCAATTTGGTAAAATACAAGTCAACCTCATTTAGTGACTGCAGTTGGTTCCAGCAACTCAGTCATTAAGCAAAATGGTCACTAAGTGAACATGTGACTGAGAAACGCTGTGAAGATCACTGGTTGCTGCCATCTCATTTAAATAAAGTTCTATCTTTCGTATAGTGTCCTGTGCCTGACCTTTTTTTTTTTTTTGCCCCCTTGCAGGGCAGAGAGATTGCTTAGACAAGTGAAAACTTCCTCAGCTACTTTTCTCTGCAGCCCAGTGTTTAACAGCAAGTTAAGAAGCTCAGCTCTGTGACCATAATTAGTTCATTAGAGCCCTCTGTCCTTCTGGTGCTGTTGCCTGAAACTGACCAGACCTTAATCAATTTCACACTGAAGGCTTTTGTTGTAAATGAGAACATTAGTTGGAAAATGATTTTTTTATTAGTTTATTACCATTGTATTTGCAATCAATCACTATATGAGACAGTTGCTAAACAAGGACTACCTGAAAGGTCTTTTATTTTTGCTACAGTACACTGTTGTTTCATTTTCATTAAAAGTAAATGCCACTCAACTTTCCCTTCTCTTTTCCCTTTCCTTTGTTTCAACAGGTCAATAGTAGTAAGTAGCTCAGAAAGCCTTTCTTAGATCACGATGAGGATTGTTGTACTGAATTTCCAGGTTACTGCAGTTTAAATTTTCTCATTTAAATACACACCAGTTTCCTTTCCCTAAGCGGTTTTTCTCTTTGCTTTCAGGTGGTTTCATCAAGGCCCTAATCCTCACACTGGTGGACATGACTGGATTTACTCTGGGAACTACTGGGACAGAAAGTACTTCAGTTTGCCAGACATTTATTAAAATGCATTGGAAGTTCTGGGGCTAACACAAGTCTTAAATCAGTTTTCAGTGTTTTCTTTATTCCTATATTCTTAGAAAAAAATTAAAACCTGACAGGTTATGATTGGATACAGTTCTGGTGCTCCTGCTGCAATGAAGCAAAAGGCTGCTGTTGGGAGCACTGGGGTTTTGGCATACTCCCTAGAATGCAGAATGTATTTGCACATAGACTGATCGCTGGGGCTACACTTGGGAGAGGTAGGGAGAGTGTGACCCATATTTGTGAACTGAAGATCGGTTGCAGATAAATGGAAAACAAAATGCCTTTGAGTTTGACTTTCTCTTTGGTGAGTAACAATTATAGTAGCATATAATGAAAAACATGGCATTTCTTCTCAATCTAGTAATAAACGATTATCTGTGACATATAATATTCTATGGCTTAAGCATGGGAAGGGCATGACACTTTGGGGAAGCATTAGTCAACTTCCTGAGGACAGCATTCCAATAATTGATAAAATACAGGATCATAGATAATTCATTTATAATTTTATTTTTTACTGTCTCTGCACCAAGATGCTCCTCTCTTAATTAAAGTTGGATTAACTCATAAAATCACTCAGCATTGTCTTTTCCTATTTAGTGCAGTGTTTTGAATTTTCTCTTTCATGTTTTATTACCATGCTATCTTTAAGGAATTAAGAGCCATTTAAATCTTTAAAAGTCTAATTTGAACTAAGATAAGTATTTTTCAAAAAATCTGCAATGCACTAATACAGGATATGGAACTGGTGGCTGTCTGAATATTGTTGGACTGCAGCCCCGGTAGCATGTTCAGTGGTCAAGAATGACGGGAGCTGTGGTTCAGCACTGGGAAGGCCACAGAGCCCTTATCCTCTGCACTGTCTGAGGTTGGGCTGGGATGTTACAGAATAAAGAGATGCACCTGGGTCTGTGCTGTCAGTAGCAAACCCTAGAAGGAATTGTGTACATTTCAGAAGCAGTTGTGAGACTACTATACAGAGAAGTTTACCCCTTTGTTTGGGGTGCGTTAAACTTTATGGGATTATATATTTGTACAAAATGGAATATGGAAATTCCAGAGGGGCTGCTGCTCTTGTATAATTTAACTATGGTTTGGAAATAGTGTTAACTGAATATTTTATTGCTATTAAATAAAGGCTTTAAGCTGTCCTGTGACAGGTGCTGTTTGATTCCTTGCTCTCAGCGGATTATAAGCAAACCACCTTCTTTTGTCCCTTTGCCCAATGTTGGAAGGATGGCATGGAGAGTGCCTCAGGAGCAGGTTCCATTTGGGGGCTTTTTCTCATTCCTGAAACACTGTTTTCCATTTTGTTATTTCAAAGTGGATCTCTCTCTCACAAGTTAAACTGTTAAACTGTATGCACACTTCAAAACTTTCTGCAGAGTCTAATAAATGGCCTAAAAATAATATATTTCCACTGAGGGTGTCTAAAGTAAAAGCAGTTCCATGTTTTTTCTAACAATCATTTTTAAATGTTTCATTTGGACAGGAGATCAACCTAAGGAAAATCCTGGTTTTAATTGTATGCTACTTGGCTATCAGTCTTAAACCATATGGAAAAAATGCCTTTAGATTCAGATTCCTTGCACTGCTTTATTGCGTGTACTAGTTAATCAATTTTTAAATTAAAGATGCAGCTTTCCATTCTGGGGTGAAATGTTGGACAGCACCTCTTCTCAATCTGGGAGGAAAAAAACATCAGCTCAGTACATTTAGCAGTGGGTCCTAGGCAGTACTGTAAAATACATAATTCATTTGTAGTATCAAGCATCAACGCATAGGCTGTCACTTACCTCTTGCAGAAGTACATAAAAAGGCACCATTTGTAGATTTGGTCTTAATTGGATTTAGAATCCAACAGCCCCTGGAAACGTTCAGGTTTCCTCTCCTCTTCCTGCTCTAAAGCTTGGATGATTTTATGATACAAAGGACAAAATTCTTCACACAAGAGTGTGTACTTCAAACTTGGGTAGCCTCCAAAAGTGAACAGAGTTATACTTCAACAGCACCTCTGAGGTTATCAGATGTTTCCCCAGCCTGCCATACAGGGACTCAGTCTGTAAATTGTACTAAGCCATAATGGAGTATATTAGGTTTAGGCTTAGAATACTGTGGGAATCCAGATGATATGGCATATTTTGCAAACCATGGTAGAAACAAGCCATGGCTTAGTACAGTGGGTAAAAATAATTACTGATGTCCACAGCTTTCAACAATTTCATAATGTGGGAAATCCACTGATGTGTGAGGTAAAGCATGAGTTTCACTAAGCTATAAGATCCCTTATTTATTTATTATAGATAAATGTATACACAAGAATGGATTTGGAACCAATATGAACTATTGCTGCAAGATCTGTCTAGTCATGGAAATAACATTGCCTGTAATTGCACACAGTAGAACATAAGTTACAGGGGTTCACACGCTCCTGGTGGCTGTTACTATGATTCACATGTATAGGTAACCGTATTTGCAATTTCCTTAGAGACATGTCTGCCAAAAGGTGGGAACTGACTGCAGATTTTTTAAATGCCTTATGAGGACTTTGGAAAATGTTTTTAGTTGTACATAATAGGTTGGATCCAGGGTTTACTTCTGTGAGCAAATTACACTAATGGGAGCAGAAGAAAAAGGGCCCATTTTTTCTTTCATCCAGCCTCTACCCATGCAATTTAAATGGGCCTTCCAGTGCTCTGGGGGAGATCTACAGGGGTCTTAGGAGATTGTAGAAGGAAGCAGCCAAAAATTGATAAGCAGGATTACTCCATTACATCAGGAACCAGATGCAGCTAGAGTGAGCCAACCAGTGGCAAAAGCTCCATTCAGCCCAGTGTTCTATCATTTAGACCCAGCTTTTCACACCTTGGGCAAAAACATATTACATCAATTAATAACTTTTTTGTAAATCAGTATCTTCTCCTTACAGCTGTATTTGCACACCACCGCTTATTTGTGGTAGGAGCAAATTAAGTTTTACATTGTATAGTCTACAAAATCTACTCCATCAGCTTCAGTGAACTACTGTTTCAGTATGGTGCTTATGCATAAGTAAGTCCATCAGTCTAGCTAGCAGCAGTAATAAAAACTTAATGAAAAACAGCCTGCTCCAGCTAGCATTCATTTCAACCCTCTAAACCTTAATTGTGGTTTTGGAATGCTTTGACCTTCAAAACACACAGCTTTATTTCAAGTCAAACTTCCATTCTGCTTTTTTAGCTAGTGTACTACATCTTCAACCTAATATGTATATATAACACATTCTATGGAATGACAAGATTCATAATGAGAGTGAGATTTGCACTGTAAACAGTATTTTCAGAAAAAGACACTGATTCTGAACAAGTGTGGCTTGAATGGGTCTGAACTGTACAGCCAACCTACACATCAGCTGGTCCTAACCTAGTGCCCTATAAATGTGTTGGAATACAATTGCCATCAGTCTTATGGTACAGAAATAGGCCACAAAGAGTGGCCTTCAGTCAGTTTTACAAACAGACTCTACTTCTCTCTTTTACCTGTAATAGTGGCAGGAAAATCACTATTCTTATTACAACTTGGAAATCAAGCAAGTTTTCAGGGTTCTGTTGTTAAACTCATTCTGATAAAGAGGATCGCACATGAAAGGAAAGGAAGGCGATGGTAAAAATGCACCAAAGGGGTTCGCATGCTTCAGTGCTGCTGTTGAAAGCTGGCTCACATCCCGCTTTTAATTAAAAGGAAGCAGGTTTAGCCAAAGTTAAACATGGCTGTGCAATGCCTCAGATACCATGATGAAAAGAGTGCATGAGAGGCCCAAGTAGAGCCTTCTTCTGCAACTCAGCCCAAATTTATCCTTTCCTGCAATCACAGAGCGGCTGGGAAAGGCAGCCCCACGATGCCAGAAAAACAATACGGCTTCTTGAATGGGTTGCAGACAAGTGCACCTTCAAACCCAGAGCTGCATAGTGCTACTAACTATCTCTAACATATAACATGCTGCTCCTTGGGTTTTTAGTGAGCCGCTGGCATAAGGTCAAGATGCCGGGCTAGGAGCGGGGAGACCCAGGTTCTTGTTCCCACTTAACAACCCATCTCACAGAGTTGTGGGGAAAATAGGAAGCAGGAGGTTTGCTTGCCACTTTGAGATATATATAAAAAAGGTGGGATTAAAAAGAAACATCATAATAATCTAATACAGTGTTTCTCAACTGTGGCAACTTTAAGAAGTGTGGACTTCAACTCCCAGAATTCCCCAGTCAGCATTCTGGCTGGAGAATTCTGGGAGTTGAAGTCCACACATCTTAAAAGTTGTCAAGGTTGAGAAACACTGATCTAATGGATGCCCATGAGGCGACTTTGGACCAATCTCTCTCAGCCCAACCTGCCTCACAGGATTCCTGTGGGAAAAATAGGAGGAGGGAGCGCTACATATGCGACCCTGGGCTCTTTTACAAAAGGTGGGATATATATCAATCAAATAAATTAGAAACATTTTTCATAACTTCCTTTCTGGAAAGGGGCATTATCTCCAAATTCACTATATTCTGATATTTGTTCATCTTAAAGCAGCTGCACTTGCTTCCATCCCTGTGTTTGGAAAAGGATTTCCATATGTGAATATCCCTCAGCAGCCTCCTATTCAAACACTTGCTTGGTGGCCATATGCAATAAGCAGCTGTGCAAAGGCATGGATTCTGTGCTGGTGAGGTCTGCAAAGGGTTTAAGACTGGTTAAAAAAAGAGGAAAGACTCACTCAAACTCAACTCATGGCAACAATAAGGCTATTACACCCACATTATTTTACCTTCACACTTGCAGCAGCACCACAGCTTTTGAAAAATCAGCTCACTGTCTACATCAGCTTTCCCGAATCCTGTGCTCTCCAAGGGTTTGGGTGCAACACCCAGAATTCCCACCCTGAGACTACAATCCCATCACATTAGAAGGGCATCAAGTTGAAAAGGCTAGTCTATAGATTTGTTTAGAAATCAAGTATGAAAACGCTAGAAAAATAGCATACTTGCCCCTGACTAATTTCCCCCTTGGTAGCTTTCCCAGTAATGTCTGTTAAAATCTCAAAAGTCTCCCCAGATTAAAAGTACTCCCCCAATGGAAAATGCAGACGTGCATGGAGGGAAGGTGTATCTTTGTATGCAACCTGCACACCTGTTCTGTTGTTTTGCAGTCCTCCCCACTCCGTAAGCCTTTCTAGGATCATCCCACTGGAATTCAGCAACAGACTAGTGAACATTACAGGTGCAACACACAAAGGTATATGAAGCCTTCAGCAAAGCTCAGCACACCTCACAGAGCACAAACACACAGAAAGTCTCTTAAGAGGAGAAAACGAAGTGGCCACAGTATTGTGTCATCACCCCACCAAATCTTGTACATCTCTGCTGCCCCCAAAGAAAAACAAATCTCTCAGTTGGGGGGGGAAAAAAAAGCTGCTTGCTCTGCTTAAAGCTGTGCACCGATCTTTGGCTTGAGACCTTAAAATAACATTTTCTGGGAATGATTGCTGCAAACAATCAAGAATGCCATGTGGGCAGAAGAGCAAGTATACCGAGGAACATCTTTATTATCAGCCTTCGACAACCAGGCAGATGTGTCAGACTTCATCTCTCCTGATCCCAACCACCATGCTCACTGCTCATGTTGGCTGGGGATCAGTGATGTTGAAGGCCAACACATCTGAAAAACACCAGGCTTGGAAAGGCCATGTGTTTCAAGCCTTATCCAGCTTCAGGGATAAGTCTCTGTCAAGCCCTGAACATCGACTTACCGTTTTGCTATTCTGTCCTACGTACGGAGGCAGTCGTAAATGTGATCTCTCCTGCTATACCATAACTGCCTGCAAAAGGTGTTTTATCCCCAGCTCCTGAGCCATTCTTCCCATTCATCACATCTTCCAGTGGTATGGCAACTGAAAGAAAAACTGGAGTTGGAGGCCTGCCACTATCTTGTGCAGGGTTAAAATTGGGGTTGGCTGTTTTTGGATCTGCTGCCCTGGCGACTGGTACGGGTATTGTAGCGAACCTCCTCACAGTACCCGCAGCGTCCGGCTGCGTTAGAACAGTATGGCCTGGGATGGGTTTCCAGTCCTGTTTATTCTGAACAGAAGAGCCCACTAAAATGAAAGGTGGTGCATTTCCCTTCTTCCCATCTTCCATCATCACATAAGTTGGAGAGGACACTTGTGGTGGATGGCCTTGTTGTATCATCTGCGGCTGTAGATACTGCGGTTGGTCCTTACCACTAGATATGAATAGGGTTGCTTGGGGAACAGGAGCACCAGTTCCAACAGGTGGAAGGGGTGGAGGTGGTGGTGACTTACGACCTTGTTGTTTCAAATCAGTTAGACAATAGAGAGTCCACACATTAGAATATGGTGGTGGCTGTCCTGGTTCGCTTGTTGCCATGGCTATAAAATAAAAATTTAAAGAAAAATTTGCTGGCATGAAAGACCATCTACTAGGATGTATGAACTGCAGTCATAACGCATATCCTTACACACAACTTTATGCCGCAAGGAAGCATGTTACAGAGAGGAGAGTCTGTCAAGGTAAAAAGTTGGACCTTGGTATGGTGAAAATGGAGGGACAACAGCAAAGTGCCTTGTGGTGATGAAGTTAAGCTTTAAAAGATGCTGGTTTGGCCAAACAGAGCACATTTTTTCTTCAAGTCATCCATTAATGACAAGAAATTGCCAAACTGCCAACATTCAACATGTGTGAGAGTCCCCTGCCAGCATAACATTAGTCAGCTAGATTTTCCAGGCTTGCCCCATAAATGATGCCATAGGATCCTGCATGAATCCATTCTAATCTGCTGCCCAGTGAGTCAATGCAAAAGCTGTTGGATGAAAAACAACTCCAACTCAAATGACCCGCAGTTTAAAATACTGAATTATCCATCCATGCCAAGCTTCAGTATTCTTTTAACCCTTCAGCATTCTCTCTTCTGTAACATGCTTTTGTTTCTTACCTACCTATCTCTCTAACAGAATGTGATTCTTGGGAGATTTTGCAGTCAGAGGTCAATGGATAAGAAACGTTAACCTTTCTCCAGCTGAGAACAGTGGTGGCTTAGGCACTTGTTACAGAGGCAAGCAAATAACTGGAAGAGGTCCTGCCAGGGAGGAAAGCTAGGCCTCCAGCTGCAACCACCCCAGGCTTCTAAGTAAGAAGCAACTAGTCCACCCTCTGTAGGCATCTGGAGAAGACTGGGCCTAGTGGGACAGCATAGGCAACCACCACCATTTCTTTTAAATGCAAAAGCCATGTTAATGCCATGGCTGAGTCCACTACTGGGTTAAAAAAGGTTAGTCACAGTCACCACCTCACTTTCCTTCAGCTGCCATGGGCATGCATGTAATTTTGATTCAAGATATGCAGTCTACTGCAAACAAGGCTTCTAGCAGGAAAACGAAAGGCCAGGCATTTTCCCTGGCTGAATATTGTCCCGTGCTACCTATCCATCTATGCGCAAAAAATTATACAGGAACAGGAAACTGGGACAAACTCACACAAGGTAAGCTTTAGGGCTTATTCACAATCCACTGCACATCTGGAAGCATCCCGCAGGCAAAAATTCCACGCATGCACATTCTGCCTGACAAGTCCTGTGGGCCTGTAACACCCCAAAGCAAGAGTAACCATCATTTACTTCAACACTGCACTGGCATGGCTATTTGCATTTAAATAAGTAAAGTTCCAGTCCTCAAGGCACTTTCTTGGCCAAAGCCGTATTGCAGGAGTGGGGAAACATGTAGCCTTCCAGATGTTGCTGAACTACAATACCCAACATCCCTCCATATTGACCATGCTGGCTGAGATTGTTGGCAGTTCTAGTTCAGCAACAGCCGGACAACTAACCCCTTTCCTGTTAATGTATTCCCGGCTCTCACCAACATAAATGCACCCAAGGGGATGGAGATGTTACAGAGCTAAAATATTACAACACAGAATAGGAAGGATTCAGAAATATCTTGACTTTCTTACCTGACATAATAAAACCTGGGTCAGCTGATTTCAGTTGCTCTGTAGTATCCATTCTGTCAGGGTCACATTCTGCATCATCTGCAGATGGATCTAGAATACTAGTAAACTGGCCTGCATTTGGTGAAGCCGTTAGTGGATCTAAGAGACAGGCTACTGTATCTACAAAAGGAATGACTATCTGCTGTGGAAACTGCTCTACATAAGGTGGTGGTACAGGCTCTCCACCAGCGCTGGGGTCATCACCACCCATGGGTGTGATGTGTATGTCTGATGTGAGCTCAATTTCACTTGGGCAACTCTCTGCCTGCAACAGGTCTTTATCAGGAGGCGGTGGTGGTAGCGGCGGGGGTGGCTCTCCTTCCTGCAAGGGGTCTGAGGAAGCTTGTTCTACTGGGTCAGCAGGTGGCTGTTCTGCCTGGCTGCCCGAGGTAGCTGCGTCCCCCAGGACGGAGCTCTGACTCTGAGTGCCTGATGCAGCCCTGAGAGAATGTGCAGAAGCTTGGTTTCCTGCTTCCTCTGGGGCAGGTTCTGCTTCCGCTGGGGCAGGTTCTGCTTCCTCTGGGGCAGGGGCAGGTTCTGCTTCCTCTGGGGCAGGGGCAGCTTCTGCTTCTGCTGGGGCAGGCTCTGCTTCAGCTGGGGCAGGGGCAGCTTCTGCTTCTGCTGGGGCAGGGGCAGCTTCTGCTTCTGCTGGGGCAGGTGCTTCTTCTTCAGCAGCTGCTTCTGCTGGGGCAGGTTCGGGGGCAGCTACTTGGGAAACTGCAGCCACGGCCATTGCCTCGCTGGCAGTGTGGGACAACGCAGGAAGGGTCTGCACAGAGATGGCCACATCCTTCAACTCAGGCTCGGTACCAAGCGTTTCAACGTTACCTAGCATTTGTGCTGCTAGCTGAGCTGGATCGGCTGGGACATAGGCAAGTCCTGCTCCCTTGTCGTCCCCAGCCTTTTCTAGAAATTCATCAACAATAGACGGGAATTGAGTAGTCTTGGTACTCAGTTCACAATGAGGCTCTTCGTTTATCTGATCCTCTTCTGTGTCAGTCGACTTCTCCTTCCGTTTGGGTTCATCATGCATTGGAATCGTGTCGAGGTCTGACCGAAATGCATCTCCAACATCTGCCCTTTTCGAACGGGGCATCGGTGTTGCTGCTCCAGGTCCTTCTGCCCATCCCTCCACTGCAGGAATATAAATATGAAACAAGTTAAAAAGAGACCCTCATCAACACAAAGAAAACCACTGACTTCCAAGTCTAATTTTGGAAATTAAATGTCTATATTTCATCAGCCATTAGGAAAACCAACTAACTGGTTAATACAGGACCATACATGATTGGTGGAACCAGAGCTTATGCCATTCATCTAAATGCACACAGTGGCCCACAACTACAGATAGTGTTTGCAGGCTTCTGTGATGATCCATCACATGGCAAGGTTGGACCTTTCTCATATTCATTTTGCATATTTATTTATTTCACACATTTATAAGGCCACCCAACTCAAGCAAAGTGACTCTGGGTGGCATACCACAGAAGTTAACATGGACAAAAAATAACCCATCACCAAAAAAAAAAAAAGCCCTAATATATAAAAATGGGGGAAGAGATTTGATGTGGTGATCCACTGTCTGACCACCAGCTATTCAAATACTGTGTGGGAAAGCTGTAAGCCGAAGAGTCAGATACTACAAGTGCAAGATTTGCGTAGAAAAGATTTAACACCTATTACTATGAGGTAGGTTGGAAAAAAGCCTGCTTTAGAAACTAGAGCAGTGTTTCTCAACCTCAGCAACGTTAAGATGCATTGACTTGCTGGATGGGGAAATCTGGCAGTTGAAGTCCACACATCTTAAAGTTGCTGAAGTTGAGAAACACTGACCTTAAGAGATTTGCTAGGCCTAGAGGATAAGCAGCACTGATAATACTCCACCAGACTCAGCATAAGGAAGCCTCTTCTTATGGAAAATTTTTGGAGCCCCAAATTCTATGTACCCTGGAAGCCAATAAATGTGGTAGACAGAGTTCTTTCCATTTTGACGAACAGCTTCTCACTTTGTGTCCTATTATTAGAGACAACAGATTGATCAGTCCATTATTTATTGGACCACCCAGCCAGTGCTATTGCAGAAGAGGACAGGTCGAAATGGTTGTCCCTATTTTTTCACTGTGCTTTCCTGTCTCTTCTGATGCTTGATCATAGTAGCTTCAGCTTCCCGCAAAGTATGTAGGCCTTTAAAACTCTCTCCCTTTCATTGGTCATTTTCTCCTGCAGTTTAGCTCAAGAGCGTTATCTTTTTCTTCTAGAAGTCCTCTGCCAAGGCCTGCCACTTGGCAGGGAGGGCAGATGAATGAGCTGGTGCTACCACACATAAACTTGCAACAACTAATGGGCAAGAAGTATAAATAATAAATGTGTATTATTAGGAGGGTGAGGATTTGCCATAGCATATTATGTAAGTTTTCTGAAACCTACCTGGGTCATGTCATGCACAATCAACCTTATCTCTTTTTTAGTTAAAATAACTAGTTTGCCTAGTTATTGCCTAGATTACAGTACTGTAGACGGGTATAACTAAGTTTCAGCAAAGCACCTAACAAGATTCCCTTGAAACCCTTGTTGACAAAATGATACAATGTCAGCCAGACATTACCATTAAATGGATCTACAGTTCATTAAAAAACAACAAGGTTCATCAGGTGGTTTATCTGCCAACTCAGAAAGCAATTCCTAATAAAGTTCCAGATCATGGCTCACTCCTAGCCCTACATCGAAACTGAACATTGATTATCACATGGGCAGATGACACTGTTGGAAACAGAAAGGTAATTAATACAATAGAAAACAAAATAAATATTTAAAGTGATCCTTATGAGCATGGCCAAACTTGTGAGAATAAAATGTAAAATTCTGAATTTAGGAATCAAAGTCTCATATGTGGGATAAGATTTCTTAGTTGACTATACATTGAACATGAACAATTAATGGTATGCAGCTACTAAAGATCTGAATGGACTCTTAGGTTACATGAAAGTGTGTAGCTCACAGGCAATCATTCTACCATATAATAAGTATGTATGGAGGACGGCAACCGAGGTCATGAGGTCCAGAACTAAAATAAATGAGAATAGTTTAAAAAGCTGGATAAGTTTACTATGAAAAGAATGCAGTAAATAATAAGACTGAAAAGCTGACACACAGAAAATAACATAGACTTGTTCTATGTTATTCCAAAGGACAGGACCAGAACCAGTGGGTCCAAATTGCAGGGAATCCATTTTTATTAAATTATTGGAGAATCTTCTCAATAACAACTGCATGATCAAGAATGGAACAGATGGTCTTGAGAGGAAGCGAGCTCTATTTCCCTGGAGAAGTTTAAGCACAGACTGGACAAGAATCAGGAATCTCTCAAGAATGACGCTTTTGCATTCGCATCAAGCAAGCAGTTGGACTCTATCCACCTCCAGACTGCTGGGACTACAGCTTCCAAAACTCTCAGCTAGCATGATCAACATCCACTGCGGTCACCAAATTGGAGGAGGCTGAATTCTTACAAATGATGGTCACTGGCCCTGTGGACCTGAGCTCAGGTTTGCCATGCACTCAGTAACCATCACATTTAATGATGGTTGTCACAGCTACTTACGTGCCACAATACATTTCAGGTTGAGGAAATCTGCAACTTGCCTGCCAAGACGAGGCACAGAATGTTTTGTCACGTAAAGAGAATAATCATAGGAAACATCATTTATAAAACACTTGTCTATTTCTGCGTCATTCCTAAAACCCACACAGCAATTTTTGGGAAGTTAAGTATTTTGATAACTCTTCTAGAAAATGTACCACTCCTGCTAGATAATCCAAAGGCAAATGAGCAATGAATACAGCCCTGCAGAAACTGTTCAACATTTTCTCTCTCCTTAATTTATCTAGTATTTTCTATCCTTCCATTTCCCCCACTTATTAAATCACTCTTCCTAATCCAGTGCTTCCAGACACACTGAAACTGACTTGGTTGGTCACACGATCATAGAGTGGAAGGGACAATTTAGGCTAGTGAGTGATGACCAAAGCTGAAAGATACTCTAGTCCTTGCTTTCAGAAGGCACTAAGTTAGTGGAGAATGAGCTCTATCAGGAGCACTTGTTGAATCAAATTAGATGTTCCTAAATTAAATGACAAAGAAAAAATATGAAAAAAAATTGTAACAAAAGGAGCAAATGTTAATCTTATCAGTTAAAGGAAATTTTCAAGTCCAAAAAGTAAAAAGCAGTCAAGGGAAATTTAAAGTTGATTTTGAACAACTTTTGCCAACCTGGGCACCATCCCACTATGTGGACTTTAACTTCCAGAATTCTCAGCCATAACCATGACTGTTCTGGCTAGGAATTCTGGAAGCTAAAGACGTGCAAATCTGGAGAATTCCATTTTAATCATATTAATTGCTTCCTCTAAAGTCCTGACTCTTGGTGATCTCAAGGATATGCCTGTGTTTTTTCTTGGCAACAATATGGATGTTGTTTGCCATTGCATTAATCCATCATTGTCTTTCATCCAAGTATTAACCAAGCCCAACCCTACTTAGCTTTTTCAAGGTCATCCCAAATCAGCAAGGTACTGCCACCTGCTATAATTCTCAGTTACGGTTCAGGTTTAGATTTAGTTTTACTAAGGAAAAAATACTGAAATAAATGGGAAAGTTTGTCATGATTAACTTAAGATCTGCTCATTTCAATGGGTCAACTTATAAACCGGGTTCACACATCTGACTGTCATGTTTTCTTTAACCAGGCTTTAAGCTTCAAATGAATAGGTTCACACTGTCATTAAACCATTAGTGATGATTACAAATCACGTCATGCTAAGACAGAAATATCTATGACTTAGCATGTTATGTAAACCCAGCTTAAGTATCACCAAGTCTTAGCCCAACTATGAGTACTTACTTATGGCAAAGATAAATATTTTATATATAAGATTTCAGATTGGGAAATCATGCCTAAAACTGCAGGTAGTTTTCAGGGTTGTGCGTGTGTGTGTGTGTTTTAAACAGCCTTTTCCAACTGGGTGCCCTCCAAATGTGTTGGACTTCAGCTCCCATAACTGCCAGCCATTGAGCTAGGCAAGGATTTAGGAAGTTACAGTCCAACATATTCAAAGGGTATCAAATTGGAGAAAGTATCATTTCTCCATATCGTTTCATAATATGACCAGGCAGAACAAGATAAAAGGAGAAGTTGGTCATTCTAGGCCATCTAGACTTGAGGGACCTCTGGTGGTAGAAGAGAGGATTTTTTGTTTTGACAAAACAGTGGAATAAGAGGGGGAAAGGCAAAGTAGTACCCAGGAACAGCAAAGAGTATGAAGGTTAACCAATCAAAGAACTACTAAACATTTCTGATTTAAGCTACTGCAATATACAGACTATACTGTAAAAATATCCAGGAGTTTCAATCAGAAATAGAGTAAAAGACAAATTCAAGATCACGTTGCTATTTTTGCATGACACAGTAGACCACAAACTAGCCTACCCTGTCATATAACCAAGCTATTTTTGGTTAATTTATGTTTGGTGTATTGCGCAAACCCAGAAAATTAGATTGAGTAAATCATGGCTAAAAGTTGTGAGTAAGCACGTTATGCCAATAGAGCCATCCTGAGCCACAACTGAGCCAAATGTATTTTTGCCTGGCATGTTGTGAGAACCTGGCATCTGTCACCAATACTGTAGTCAGGAAGACAGAACATGTGCAGAGCAGAGGAATTGCTGAGAAGTGAAAGGAGAAATATGCAGATACATGCCTTTGCTTGCCACCAAATATGCCCCGACTCTTTAAAAAGTGTAACGTTGCTATATGTATCTAAGATGCAGAACAATGGAACTCCAGTGGGGTAACTGAACAGATGTTTTCACCAAGGCTAAGTTCCAGGCAACATGAACAACGCTTTCTCTCTGCCTCTGCCTCTGCCTCATACACACACACACTCATACCAGTCTTCCTGTGAGCTGACCATTTCATGGACAGCAATATTAAGGCTACTGATATCCTATCTGTATCCATTAATCTTACCCCGTCTGAAGTCAGCCTTACTTTATTGAATGCAGGCATCTGGCTAACCTTAACTGCTGAAATCATTTAATTCTGAAACCGATTAAGCCTCATCCCTAGTAAACCATGTACAAGAAGGCAGGGGAGGAAGAAAAATACTTAGCTGATCAGGTTCACACACCTATATAAACTACAGCTTGTGTTAATCCCAGTGTGTTAAACATAATGGCTCTGTTTCACTATGCATGAATATACTGTAAGCCATTGTTTACAAATGATTATGGCTAAAGCATTTTTAATTTAGGTGAATGCCTCTAAGGCCTATGTGGAATCCAAGGGCATTCTGGGCAATGAAGATTTGGGTGGGGTTGACTACCTACTTTACAGCATGCCAGCTACTCATTTAATCTTATTTAAAGTTAAAATAATAGCTTCAAAAAATTAAAACCGTAGTACTTTGGGGTTCCCACCCCCATTGCTCTAATAACTTGGGATCCCTGCAAGGCAGCCTCTGAGGTGAGTCAAAATGAATAATTCAGAATAGCCAGGGGCTTGGACTTAGACAGGAAACTGAGAAGAATCACAGAATGCTAGATCTGCAGGGTGCCTATTGAAGCCATCAAGTTCAACCCCCTGCTCAGTGATGGAATCCAAATGAAAGCACTCTGTCACCTTTCCCCTGCTTTAACACATCTAGCTCCATAAGTCCCAGTCAGATAGTTTTGGACTGATGATGAATGTGCTAATACATAAAGTTTTCCCACTGTGATACAGTACAATTTCAACCCTAGTAAAAACTTGAAATCTTTCCTTTTACTTATCAACCCTTCCACATCCTCTCAATAAATGCTTCCAGTGCATAGGACTTTCCTGGACTGCACTAAAATTATCTTCTCTGCTTGTCCAATCTGTCTCTCATCTCTGTTTTGGTGAACAAAAGTATGAAGCAGTAGGCTTTGGCAAACACACAAATCTACAGAACCAAGAATTGTGTGCTAATATAACCCAGTCATTTTTTAAAACATCAGGTGTTTCTTTGCTATATTTAATTCATACAAATAGAAGTCACCTTTGGTTTTTCAGATTTATAATTTAAACCAGGATGGATGGATGGATGGATGGACGGACGGACGGATGGATGGATGGACGGACAGAGACACACAGATAGATAACACCCACACAAACACACATACAAATAGCAAAAAGACCATGTTCTCTCTCAGGAAATGTTCTAGATTTCTGTCTTCTCTTACATACACATGCATTCTACACCCAGCCACACAACACACTCTACTCATCTGCAGAACCTTAAAATACTTCCTTAACAGAGAAGTTTGAAATGTTCCATGCACAAAACAGCTGGTTTGGAATGGCCTGTGCCTGAATCAAAAGACATGTTACAGGTGTTTCTGTCCAAGCATGGAGCAAAACAAGGCAACATTCATCCAGAGAGAAGCTGTTTGGAGGAAAAGCCAAGGACACTGGTGGCTACAAGGAAAAGCACCAGGAAAATCAGGAGGGACAGATAGGTCAGATGGATGTGGTGCCCTGGGACATCAGTGGTGGCAGAGTCTAAGGGAAGAGGAAGATCAGGGGAGAGCCCACTGGGATGTGCCACACTGAAGGGAAAGCAGGGGAGGAAGGGAGATGGGATGACACTCATCAACCTTGCTATCTCACACACTTGGATTTTGTTTTATCCAAACCCTGAGTCAACCAAAGTGGTCCAAGTCTTGGTTTAGTTGAATCATGCTTGGTCTGAAACAGTCTCACAGAACCTCCAGAACATATGAACAAAATTATTTCATTTTGTGCACAGCCTGAACCCTTAGACGTACGCACTCATATACAGACATTAATGTTTAAACATAATGCAAAAGCTTTTATTAATTCAGTGGTTTTTCATACACCCATTCATAATTCTCAGCCCACATTCCTCTATCTGGAATAATTCCTTTTCTTTGCACTGCAACAAAAGGTCAAACTTCCTTCAAGTTAACTTCAAGTCTGGTGACTTTGTGGATGTAGCTGTGCATTTTTTCTTGGCAAAAGGATAAAAGTGATCTGCCACTGCCTCCTTCCAGGATGTCTTTCCTGGCCTATCTACAGCATGCTGGAGAATTCTGGGAGTTGAAGTCCACACATCTTAAAGTTGCCAAGTTTGAAAAACACTGATCTGAACCAATCACAAACTTTAGAAATGCAAGTGCACCTATCAAACAACCTTGACATTTAGAATCTCACATAGTCTCACATCTCACTAGTCACTGTCCTGGAAGTAAACATATCATTCAGCAGGGTCTCCAAATCAAATTTAGCTGCTTCAATTATCGTCTACCTGAAGACATTGTGTATGAGCTATGCTTTGGGACAGAAATAATTCCTCTGTATTTCTGATCACCTTTTCCCCATTTATTTTACTCTTTCTGGGGAAAAGATACGGCAGGGAGATTTTCAGTGTAAAAACAATGTAAGGGGGAAAAGCTTTTTTAAAAAAACCGCACCCTTCTCTTCCATTTTCAATCACAGCCTCAGCAATTACATTTATATTTTATTTAAAATCTCCCCTTGAAAGAAAAAAGTGACATTAAATAATGGCAACAAATCACTGTTTAGTGCTAATCTCATACCTCTTGTCATATGAAATTGTCTCACCAGTTCTTTGATATCCAAATTAGGATGTTCTGGAAAGAAAAGTTGGAGAAAGGCAATCAATTTATCAACCAAAATCTTTGGTGGTACAAAACTTAAGTGAGGAACACATTTCACATTGCAGCTACTATAAGGACACCACTAGTTTGAATGATCATTGCTTTGCTTATACTGGCCAATATTTAACCTTTTAAAACAAAAAGGCAAACCTTCTCGAAAAACTATCAGTTCTCTGAAATACTCAGCAGCAAATTCAGTGATGTTGGAGGGACTGGCTTTGAGAACTGCTCTGCTCACTCCTTCAAGGAGAGTCTTGAGGCCATATGGGACCACCATCCTGGGCTTTGCGGTATGCATTGTTGCCAGTTGAACATGAAACTGCAAACTCACAACTGGAAGGAAAGAAACGAGATGAAAAAGGATTGTGGCATCCCTATAGTCTATATTTCAGCCTTTCCCCAGCCAGTGGCACCAGATGTGCTGGATTTCAACTACTATAATCTTACAGGAAGCATTGCCAGTGTTGACTATAAGATTACAGGACTTGAAGGTCCAACATATTTGGAAGGCGTCAGATCAGGAAACGTTGATCTAGCCTTATTGTATTTGTGGATTCACCTTTATAGAACTTGCAGATCTATCCTTAGAGCATTTATGAATCAAATCTAGTCAAGTTGGCTTCATGTGCATTTACATGCACCTCTCCTATTGATGGCTGAATTGACTGATTAAAAAAAAAAAGCCTAGCATGTACAAACTTTGGGTGGAATTCTCTTTTATGTCATCATCCAACAAGTTACTTCAAAAATCATAATGAGGTGGAAGATAGCTGTGAAACAATCTGCTGAAAGTTGACAGATTGATCTGATCAATATGTCAGAACATTAATTTCAAAAGTTCTATCAGATTTAAAATGAATATGTCACTTCTTGAAAAGGTGTATATAATATCAAACAAAAGGTCTGACAAATAAGTGACAATTAAGCAGGACCAACTTTAATGGTGCTAGAATTCTCCCATTACATCTCTGGATTCCATTAGTACTTCAGTTTTTAGTTTGTATACTTAGCTGGAACCTCTATCAGAATTTTAAAATCAATGTTTCACTCCTTTTGGTACAATCTTATTCCCAAGTTCCTACTGAATATGGTAGTAGTTAACTGCAAGTGAATTAATGGTGAGTAGTTAATTGCAAATAAATCAGTTAAAATATGTTGGACTGAAGCATGGGGAACCTGATCAGGAGGACATTAAAGTGAATCCAGACAAAAACAGTGAAGGTAGGATGTCAAATAACAGTATACAGTGTAAAAGGAATTGTGAGTGGTGTTGTAGCAAAAGGCCTGCTAAACCAATAATTGAAAAATTAGGAAAAAATGGCTTGTAAAATTTAAGGCCTATGTTCTAATAATCAGAATACAGAAAGTAAAGAATGGAAGGAGCTTGAACTTTTACCACAGGAAGGGAAATATGACAATAATTAGAGACCTGGTGAGATGAGTCTTATTGCAATACAGCAATCAAATGTATTCTATAGGAAGAAAAGCAATAGAGAATGAGAAGAAATTGCACCATAAGTTGCACTGTAAGTTAAAAGTATCCATACCTGTTCAGAAACCCAAATGAATTAACTTGATACTGTACAGAGCATCCAGAATTTAAACAGAGGAACAAATAAAAGCAATACTCTTGTTGGGAGTCTACTGTTACCTCCCTAACCAAGGAGAAGATACAGATGATGCTTTCTAAAAGCAAACTGCAGATATTCCAATAAGGCATGGAGCAATACAGACAGAGGACTTTAATGCCTCAGCATCTGTGGAAAGACAAACTCTGTCAAGCATGGACTTTCCAGGAAATTCCTGCTTTCTTTTGCTGACAACATTTCCCTTCAAAGGGCAATTGTAGACATAAGAGGATCAAATATCTTTGACCTGATACTAACCGGTAAGGAAAAGTTTGTGACAAATGCAAGCAGCAGATATATTAGAGGAAAGTAATCATGTAATGCTGGAGTTCTTGATTTTAAAGGAAACTACAGCTGAGCAGAGACAAACTAATATGCTAGTTGACGCCTAAAAGCACAGCTGCAAACAGTTCAAGGGCAGGTATTGGAAATAGAAGACAACAGAACTATGGCTATGAAAAGATTACTGGAAATCTGAAAAAAAAAGAACACACATAAGATCTGAAAAGAGGGCCAAGGAGGAGAACACAGAGGAAGCCTAGAATTGTAGAGACTGAGAGGAATGACTATAGTTCAAAAAGTGTTGAGGTTTGACAAAGGATGTTAAAACAGTAAAACAGACTATCTCAGATCTCTTTAAAATAAAAGAAACAAAAGATGGCAAAATACTAATAGATAATAAAGAAAAGGCAGGCCTAGTCACTTCTTATTTTGCCTCAGTCCTCTCCAGTAAGAGGTTATAGATTTCATCAGGCATCTTAAAGAGTAGGATGAGGACATAGAACTGAAGCTTGACATTAACAGAGCAAATGCTTCTCTTCTAAAAAGAGAAAGAGGAGGACTGAAAGAACTAAATTATTCAATCTGACATCATTAGAGATTCTAGAGCAGTGTTGTCCAAACTTGGCCACTTTAAGATGAATGGACTTCAACTCCCAG